GTAAATGGAAATAACAGAGTTCAGACCAAATGATTTCAGAGGAAACTTGGATCGGTGTCCTCTGCTAAAAGTTGCTCTTTAGACAAGTTTCTTACCCTCCAAATAATTTAATGTCTCATCTTATAAGAGGGAAAAATCACCTATACTTACTTATGACTTTCTGCTTTGTATTTGTGCCCCTTCTCCCTCCCGCAGTAAGTTCAGTAAGTTGGGTTGAGAGAATGGAGATAAAATATTTGAATTTCAGAAGAAAATGTTTGATTTCTTCAAAAGAAAGATGCTTAAATTTACTTCTAAGACTACAAATCACTGCAGGGAAAGAAGATAAAGTCCCTTTTCTGATTGTAGCAAGGGAAATAGTGGAGAAAGAATTTCAGAAGCGTTCATATTTAGGGTTGTTAGAGAAACTGCACCCTCTGTTCAGACATTTCCTGGTGCCCTGACCTCCCTGGGACCTTAAGGGAGCCTGGGGAAGACAGAAGCCCGTCCAGCTCACAGGCTCTTAGGGAACATTACGCCTTCTTGGTACCATCAGTGGTACAGGAGCAAGGACTGTGATGTCTGTACCCAGATCAAAAGTGTGATCTTTTCTCCAAACTTAGGGTCATTTCCACTTCATGTATGTATCTCCAATCATTTACCACCCAATTTGCCCCTCTCCCACCACAATAGGACCAATACCCCATTATAAATAATTAAGGCTGTCCATGGGCAAAAAGAGGGCAAGTTGGCATTGTTCTTTGGGGCACCCCGCTCATTCTTCTGACACAGCCCTGCTAGAGCCATCTGGGCGTGGCCAGCTCCTGGTACCCAAGGTTCAGAAATCTTTTGGTCAAGAAAGGGAAGGTGTAGAATATTTCTTTGCCCAGTCCCAAGGCAAAACAGCTCCAGAAGGCTCTTCGCCTTAGAGAAGGCAGAGATGGTACTGGAAGAAGATTTGAGCCAAGAAAGCAAGAGCGAGCCAAAGAAGACCAAACGCAGATGCCAGACACTTCCCTCCCTTAATTGGGTCGCCATGTGGAACCCCAGATTATAGTTCTGTGTTAAGATTTGTCTACAATTGTCTCTAATTTGTGAATGAGGAAACCAAGACTCATAACAGTTAAGCAACTTGCTCAGGTTCACCCAGCTGGGAAGCGCTGGCATCAGGACAAACCCAGGTCTCTCTGGCGCCAAATGGCATGTCCTGCGAATTCCACGCTGCAAACAACCCAACGATGGATGTAGCTTTACTACAAAATCTGCTTTGCAGTTGCAGATTGCATTCGATGAGGAGCCAAGATGGATGAAACAGTTCATGTATCACGAGGGGTGGGCGACACGTAGCATTTCAGGGTTCCTCTGTAAGACCGGGGTCCTCATCACTCACTGTGTCTGAGAGGGCACATCCCTGTCTGCTCTCCCCTCTGACTCCCCATTTACCTTTGTCTCTTCCAGTTTCTAAAAAACACATTCTCATTACTTTTCATCTCTATACATTAACTGTAATATTTTATTGGTTTTTTAGTATAGGTTCAGTCCCCCCCCTTTGTAAACACATACAAGGCTTTCTTCCCATGTCTCCGTAGGCCTTAGTGAGCCATGTTGAGCCAATCTGCATACTCACGTTAGATATTTAGGGGTGAAGGTGGGGCTGTAATTATTATTTTCAGGCAACCAGATTTTTGTCAGTATAAAATGGAAGACTTAATGACTACATTTCTAAGCCAACCTTCATACTTTACATATGGGGGGGAAGGCCCATGAGGTTTATTCCTAGTACCAATGATAATTAATGACCAAATCCAGACCCAAGGCTCTCAGTCCTGACTCTTCCATTGTGATCATTTGATGATGAACCAGTTCTCTGTGTAACCTGTTCCCGCTTACTCTTTGTTTACCTTCCTGTGTGAAGCGAAATTTAAGCAGCTCAAATCCACTACAGCACAGTATTTTAATGTCAGAAATGATGTCTGATTTCTCTTCAATCCCCAGAATTTACCTTAGTTCATAATATACAGCAAACACTCAAAAATATGTACCTTGAGGAAACAAATGATCAATGAGGATTTTAAATAAAGCATTTTCTTTAAACAGATAAAGATTAGTATAAGTTTTTCTTAGGATTTTTTCAAACATCTTTTCCTTTATAGAGTTGAGTTATAAATGCTTAATCAAAATAAAATGATCTCTCCTTAAATTAGAACACTGTATATCAGATCTAGCTTTATGGGATGTTGATAAGAAAGTTCTTTATTTACAGCTACTTGGGGATGATCAATCTTCCTGGAAACTTTGTGAAGACTTCTTTATCTATGGCTAAATCTGTGAATTTTTTTCCATGTTAAAAGGAGCCCAAGTTGATTCTAAAATCAAAGAACAGACAGAAGTTCAAGTGGGTTGTAAACTTGGCAAAAACACGTTCTGCCAAGAAAAAAAGAATTCGGCTTCAAAAATCTGTTACTGTGAGTGCATCTTCCAGTTTCCTTTTGTAAGAACAAAGTCCGGAAAAGAGAATCATAACATCACATAAAGCAATGGGGTATGTTTTGTGTGACTAAAGATATTAAAATGGCTTGTTTGACATCAGGCCAACCGTGTGACTCCTTTTGAAGTCAATCTGAAAGAGGCCACCTTGTGACCACAAGCCTGGGTGTATAACCTCATGTTCTGAGCGTTGCCATTGATGGCATTTTAAATGGCCATCGCTAACCTGGTAGGAGAACTTTTTTCCAATATATTTTTGTTTGCATTTTACCCCCCATAGGTCCACGGTTGGCCCTTTCCTTTGCTGCTGTGCTCCCTTTGCTAGCACGGATACCCCCCAGAGACCCGCGCACCAGCTCCGTTTGGCTCCCCTGCAGTAGGTAGCCAGGAATTCTCTTCTGAATAGCTTTAGCATTTGAATCCAAACAGTTTTCATGTGCCCAGGGAACCATGCTCTAGAGGAGGAGCCAGGGCTGCCGGAGCCCCAGAAAAAGGGACTTGGTTTTCAATGTGCCCAAAGACTCTTGTTATAAAGGCAGATCTGCTCTTTGTCAGGACTGAGGGTGTTCTCGGAGCTCATTCTCAGAACGCTAGACTGAGAACTTCTCGAGAGGAGAGGCCCTACCCCGTGGGGGCTGACTTCAAGGATCTGGGGAGGTTTCAGGGGGAGAGAAAGGGCCTGGAGAGTAAAGCCAGCTGCCTTGAAAAGCGTTGTTAGCCTGTCCGCGTTACTCCACCGAGCAGAACGATGACCCACAAACAGAAACACTAGAGTAGGTTTGGTTCCATATAGAAGCGTTTTCCAAAAGGCATGACATGTTCTGACTACACAGGAGCAAGTCCATGTCACACAAGTGTGTAAGCCCTAGCTAGATGGGCATCTGTAAGGAAAGTTCTGGAAGGGATTCCTGCATTGGATGGTAGGTGGCACCATCCTGGCTTCCCACCTGGGCGCCTGTGGAGTGACTGTGGTCCACTCCCAAGTCCAGACAACCACACTGCCCCCTGTTTAGACCCAGCTGCTTCACACCTGCCACTGCCCGGCTTCTGAAGGCGTCTGAGTTTGCCTAACCTCCAATGTTCAGCTCGAAGATTATTTGCTCCTGTGCCTCAAGCTGTCACAGAATTTTCCATCACGGGGGGACAGAAGAGAGAGGAAGTTGGCAAAGAAACAGGTAAAGCTGAATAGTAGAGAAAAGATGAAGACCTAAACTCCAAGGAGTCGAAGGTTGAACCATTTCTTTGCTGGACACAACTCCTGCGTACATCACACCCTATTCTGTCCCCGAGACTCCCATTCTGTCCCCTGCCCTCATTTGTATCTTCCATAGGCTTTTCCTCCTAGGAACTCAGACTAACTTAAGTGGAAAACTTGCCCTGTAGGATTCGGACACTTTTATTACCAGCCCAGCTCAGACACGCAGCCTCCGGCTGATTTTTCCTGCAAGACTTAGCCAGGGCAGAGCCTCCGGGGGCCCTGGCTCCTCACGCTGAGCCTGGTGTAAGGCTGCCACCTGCTGATTGCTGGGACAAAGTGCCTGAGCATGTCTCCTCCAGGCAGAAATGTTTCCAAAGGCAGACGGGTCCTTCCCAGGTAGGGTCCGCCAGTTAAGGGACAGTAAAATCTAACGCTGTGAAGAGAGTCCTGTGCTGAGAAAAGGAACCGCTAATACATATTACTATGAATAATTATACTCCCTACTGAAATGTAATGATATGGACAGGGACTGAGTTCTAACAAATGAGGCTTGTAGGGGGTTCCTACCCAACATTTAGTCTAAAGAAAAAGCATGCATGCGCCCGAGTCCACGCGGGCTGGCATAACAGCATTACTGTAAACAGGGTGGCTTAGAAGCAACAGAAGCCCATTTCTCACAGCCCTGGGGGCCGGACGTCCAAGATGAAGGTGCCAGCAGATTCGGTGTCTGGTGAGGACCACTGCCTGGGTCACAGATGCTCACCCGACCACCTGCCCTCACCTGGGGGAAGAGCCAGGGAGCTCTGCGGAGTCCCCTTATACGGGACTGATCCCATTCCTGAGAGCTCCACCCCAGCAGCAGACAGCCTCCCGCAGGTCCCCCTCCCAATGCCGCCCCCATGGGGGCCAGGATTTCAGCATATGAATGGGGGGCACAAATACACAGTTGACTGCAATATATATGCACGCAGGGATGTATACATTTGGGGTGTTCTTGTTCCGTCAGTGTGACATTTCAGGCGTTTGCATTTCCTTCTGGATTTCCTTGCCCTTAGTAAAGGCGTGCTTCGCTATCACACCGCTGTTTCACTCTGAGAGAGGCCAGTTCCTCTCCCTTTGTTTCGTGTTTTACTCTTCATGTTAGCAAAGCAGCAACTCGGTTTTACATGGGCCCTCTGAGCGCTGAGGGAAAACCCTTGGAATGAGCTCACTGCTGTCCACTGTCGCACAGGGGCGTGTGCCGAGGACCCGGGGCGTGCGGGGCGCGCAGGGCCCGAGCCCAGCCCTGCCGGCCCGTTCCCGCGTCACGCACCAGGCCCTTCCCTCCCTCCCGCAGGTCCCGCGGTGAGCAGAGCCGACAGCTGCCAGTCCGACAGCAGCGGGTTCCTGGAGGAGCCGCCCGAGCTGCCAGCCCCGCAGGTAGAGGCCCGAGAGGGCTGGGGGGGACTGAGGAAGGGGGACTTTACAGTGAGCGGCCACAGTCGGACGGGGCAGCCAGTGCTTGGAAGACACGCGCCACAGGCACCCAGGGGACAGGGAACATAAAGCAAAGTGCCCGAAAGCTCAGCATTCCTTTCCCTTTTATTTTATTTTCATTTTACAAAACAAAGAAGTGGAGCCTCATAGAAAGAAGGTCCCAGTTAACATAGTAAACTGGCCAAAATCTGAGCTTGTAACCCTTATCTTCTGACTCCTAAGTCAATGATAATGACAGACGAAAGAAAGAGAGAGAGAGAGAGAGAGAGAGAGAGAGAGAGAGAAAGAGAGAAGGAAGGAAGGAAGGAAGGAAGGAAGGAAGGAAGGAAGGAAGGAAGGAAGGAAGGAAGGAAGGAAGGAAGGAAAGAAAGAAAGAAAGAAAGAAAGAAAGAAAGAAAGAAAGAAAGAAAGAAAGAAAGAAAGAAAGAAAGAAAGAAAGAAAGAAAGAAAGAAAAGAAAAGAAAGAACTTCTTGTCCGGCCAGTGTGGTTCAGAGGTTGAGCCTCTTCCCAAGCACCTAAAGGTCACAGGTTTGATTCCCGGTCAAGGCACATGCCCAGGTTTCAGGCTCGATCCTCGATCCCCAGTAGGGGGCGTGCAGGAGGCAACCGAACAATCTCTCATGGATGTTTCTATCTCTCCCTTTCCCTTCCTCTCTCTCTCAAAACATATTTTTTGAAGAAAGAAAGAACTTCTTAACCCTAGCGCCTCCCCCTCCTTCCTGGCCCCTCTGCCTTTATCTTGGTTTCTTCCACAGATGTCATCCTTGCCTGGAAGCCAGAGTCCTGCTGAGAATGGATGTGGAAAGCCAACGGATCAGAGCCAGCCCTTAGGGTCACCCCAGGACTGCCAGCAAGAGTCGGATGAGTCTGATTCCAAGACTATAGTGAGCACATCTTTTTCAAGTCAAGACTGGAGTGTCTTAGAAGAAAAGTCCTCAACATCTGTGGTGGAGAAAGAGTCTCAGCTTGAGGCCTCGGAGGGACAACCAGAACTGATGACCTCAGATGTGGCCCTGGACAAGGCCACCACTGGGGGAGAGTACCCAAGGAAAGACAGCCATTGGAGGCAGCCCCCACCCATGCCCCACACTCAACATGAGGCCAGTGTCGGCATGATGACCTCCAGATGTGACCGTCCTCTGGAGTTTACGGGGACCCACATCACAGAAGGGAAGGATGGGTTCCAGAGGCCTGAGGGAGCTGGGGATGTGTACGTGCAAAGCTACCACTGTGAGTCTCAGAGGTCACCTGGAATGGATCCCACTCAAGACAAGTTCCTTCATGTTGACTCTGAAGCCCCAAGAGTAGTGGAAGGCAGTCAGCTCTGTCCTGACATCAACTCCTTACTGACAGAGCATGTCCCCAAGCCCAGCAAAATCACGCCCCATACAGTTGACCTTTGTCAAACATCTGAAAAGTGCATTCCCCACCTAGGTAAGCTGCCTGGAACTACTGCTCCCCAAGCAAAGCCAAGGGGTAGTGCTTTGGGTCAAATACCACCCAGGGCAGAATCTGAGATGGGAACCCTTCCTTCGAATGCTGACTCAACCACTGTTAGCTCCGGGTCTGTGACAACCCAGATGTCGTCCAATATGGTGTCAGCTGCTCAGAATGCTGTGGCCTTGGGGACTTATGCTAGAAAAACAACTTTGGAATGCACTGTGCGTGACCCTATTCGCACAGCAGAACCAAGTCTGGGGACGGAAGCCAGACAGTTCAGTGACGTTTCTGTTCAGACTTATTTGTGTGAGCCCAGGTCCTGGCATCGCTGCTCAGCTCCACCTAACAAGGCCCAGCCCCTCACCAAATCTGTCTCTCTAGACACAGGCTTCCCTAGGAGCTGCCCAGCAGACACCTGTCGTGCCATACCTGCCCACTGCTGTGCCTGCTGTCATCACGGTCCCCACTGCCTCTGGGGGAGACAGAGCCCCGGCCCTGCGCCCTCAGCCGGTAGGCCTGGCCCGTGCTCACACCGTCACTGGGAAGCCCAGTTCCTGAAGACCTTGACAGTCCTTCAGGACACCGCGGTGCGGGAGCTGTGCTCTGTAAGTATTTACCTCTGCAAAGGGGGAGGCAGACAAGGCCCTTCAGGGAGGCTTGCCCTTCCCTTTGAATGCAAGCCCTCGGGGCGCGCCTTCTATTGCAGATCGTGAGTAGTATTTGCAGAGTGCTCTATGGTTGATGGTGTGTTCTCACAAATGCCTTCTTATTTGATCACTTCCTGTTACCTCGTGAAGTAAGGAAGGCAAATTTTATTAATTCCCATTTTACGGAGGGCCATAGAACCTTACAGAAATTCATTTGTAAGGTTAGAGAATTGATGCATCTGAACCTCACCTTCAGTCCAGTCTAACTGATCAGTTCTCTGTCTTAGTTCCACGTAGCCATATACTCTTGCATTATACGGTCTTTCTGAGCCTAGGTCTGAGCAGCCCCAACTTCGTGGAGAGATCTAGCCACTGGAAATAGATGTTCCTCCTGATTGGAGGCAAATCACACTTCTGCAGAAAATGCAGGGGTCTGTGGCCCATCTTCAGAGTCATGCATAGGTTTTAAATGAACAGGAGTTTGGGTGAGTGTGCATATCACCACCCCACGTTTTCTAATACATCTCACATTGACTTAGCCTTCTCTCCTCTTAGAATTTGCAATTATATATAAAAAATGTACTATTATATCATATTGATTAGGCATTATACACCTATGTGGGTTTAACTAGAAGACAGTGCTTTTCTCTTTCTTTAAATCCAAGGATCCACAAACACATGCTCAAAGGAAACAATCAAAACACACATACACATGCATATTTGTACTCATGTGCACGCACAGACACACACGCAGAAAAGCAAGTGAAAATAAGGCATTTCATTCACCCATGAGAAGAGGCTACTTAAACTCAAGGACAGGCTCAGGAACAAAGAGAAAAAACATCTAAGTGAGCGAGCCTCGGTTTGAAGACCTGAAAATATGTTGGGGCAAAATGGCTCCAGCTAGGAATAGAAAAATTAATAATCGATGAAAAAATTATCTAGAAAATAGGTCTTGGACCAAGTGAAGATTGTAGGCAGAGACAGATACCATCTCTTACATGACGATAGTATTCCAAACAGGTGTTGAAATTAAGAGCATTGTAGGCTAAAAGCTCAGAAAGACATCCNGATAGTATTCCAAACAGGTGTTGAAATTAAGAGCATTGTAGGTTAAAAGCTCAGAAAGACATCCCCAGCTCCCCATGTCACAGTGCAGAGAAACGCTTGGCTGATAAATGCCATTGTTGCGGTCCTGTGAGTTACCTGAGATCATGGTTTATTGATATAATTGAGTTCTTATATGTAAGTGACTTCTTCACAATGATTTGTTAATTTAAAAAAAANGATCATGGTTTATTGATATAATGGAATTCTTACATGTAAGTGACTTCTTCAAAATGATTTGTTACTTTAAAAAATTTTCCAAGAAAGAAAACAAGATTTATCAGAAATTAGATTTTTGGATATTAGAAAATTCTGTTATAATGTTTATGATTTAGATTTAAAGAAAAAGAAAGGCATACACAGTTTAAAAGGTAATATGAGCCGATTCAAAAGTTCATTGCTTTTTGGTGGTGTCGCTCTGTTTTAGTGGGCTTGGGGTCAGCGGAGCAGAGCTTGCATTGTATTGTGTTATAACCCAGCTCTTACGTTGCAAAAAAGAGTTCAAAACAGCCCCCCCTCCCTTATTTTTTTATTCAAGGTTTCCTTTTTCCTGAAACTGCTTCAATACTTGTTCTAGAGCTGAAATGCATTTTTAGTGTCTCCAACTGACCAGAAGGTGGCAGTGTTTCAGAATTTTCCTGCCATTCCCTTCCCAGGGAGCCATAGGCCATCTATCCCAGGCCCACCTCCCCACCTTCCAATCGAAAAACCTAAAATAACTAGATGAAACATAAAATCCAATGATTACCATGTTCAGCCTACTTGAGCACCACATTTCCATGGCCCTGGTCTCACTGTCTGCGGAACGTGTTCGCCTTACAGGAATCTACTAGGACCCCTCATCAGCTCCCCCCAAGGGGCAAATACCTTTTCCATGCGGTCAGCCACGGTGTCTCTGCTGTGGCTCAGAGGAAAGCAAATGAACTGGGAGACTTGGCTTTGAAACCTGACTGCCATTGTTTGACCTTGGGCAAGCTGGCTAACCATTCTGCCTCACAGCACTTGGTCTCTAAAAGAAGCCCTTCCTGGCCTCTAAGACCTTTTCTGGTTTGAAGAGCCCTAACCGTGGTCACCTTTCAAACACTCTTACCAACACCAGCAATGCTTCAAACACTCCCTTGACTGGTTCAAGTGGACTCACACTGCAAGAGTAACTGGGGAGCTGTGCTACACAAAATACGTTATTTGGCATAAAAATTAAAAGATAGAGTCAAAACCAAACTCTCCAAGCAAAATGATGGAGAGTTTTCAATATAAAAATATCATTCTTAGGAAAATATTTTTATTATAATCATTCTGATTTTTTTTAAAAAAGCCACCAAGCTGTCAGGATCTTGGCCAGGTAGTTTTGAGAAGGGTAAGAAATCTGGGACCTTTAGAAGCAGGGCTGGGAGAAATTAACGTGGTTCTAAGATTGGTTTCCATGAAAGGAGGAAGAAATGGTTAAAGGAGGCAGGCCTGAGAAACCAGTTTCTTTTAAAGTGCTTCTCGGAAGCCCGGCTTCATGCCCTCCAATTCCATCTCATTGCTGGCCTACGTGCAAGGAATGCTGGGAAATGTAGTTTTTACTTAGACACATTGCTGCCCCTAAGATATTAGAATTTGCTAATAAGAATAAATAGGAGAAAGATAGTGAGTAGGCACCTGGCAGCCTCTGCCGCACCAGTCAGGAAGGGGGTGCAAACCCATGGGCCTGGTAGAAAGAGCATTAGGCTCCAACTAGCATGTGTATCACTCAGAGTCAGATGGGTAGGGATGCTGGGGTTCTGGATTGTGGATCCATTCAAAGCATTGTCCAACCTGGGCTGAAAATCAAGAGATAGCCCGTAAGAACTCAGCAGATCAGCAGAGTGCTTTGCAAATGGACTGGAGACATTCTTGGTGGCTGAAAGAAGATATTTAAATACAGAAAACCAAGGCAAAAGCACAGACATACAGAGAAAGTAAGGTTTAAAGAGTGATTCCCATTAGGAGCAATGGGGAGCAGGATCGGGAGGATAGTCCAACCTCAGATTCCAGTTCATGGAGGGATCGGATGTCTACCTGTGCCTGCCTTACTGTGGATGGGCTTGTTAGCTGCCTGGAGATGATCCTCAGATTTTAATCACCAGGGACTGTGGTTAAGCCAAACTAAGACTAATAAAAGATAATCTTAGAAGACTTTCTCTATTTAAACATAACCATCTGAACAGATGTGCTAAATATTACTGAGATGCAGAGTGAGGCAGTATTTGGCCACAAAGTGAAACAAGATGGACTCAACCTTTCTAAACACAAGCCCGCACTCTGGCCCTACCCCCTCCTCTCCCCCATTTACAATCTCCCATCCCTACGTCACCTAGTCCTTCACACTGCCTTCCTGTCTCCAGGACAGAATGTCCCCAAGGCCCATCCGACGACTTCTACCCTCCTGCCTCCAGCTGCTTGGAGAACACCAAGGCTGGGCTTTCCCTCTTCTCTTCCCCACACATTAGCAATAGGGCAAAGCGGTNTTCTAAACACAAGCCCGCACTCTGGCCCTACCCCCTCCTCTCCCCCATTTACAATCTCCCATCCCTACGTCACCTAGTCCTTCACACTGCCTTCCTGTCTCCAGGACAGAATGTCCCCAAGGCCCATCCGACGACTTCTACCCTCCTGCCTCCAGCTGCTTGGAGAACACCAAGGCTGGGCTTTCCCTCTTCTCTTCCCCACACATTAGCAGCAGGGCAAAGCGGAGGACCCGGGTGGAACAGCAGGCTCCACCATGGTAAATTTGCAGCGAATGAGGACTTCCTTCTGAGCTCTGTCTGATTGTTCTCAGTGCACCATCCACGAGATGGAAGCAATGAAGACACTGTGCCGGGGTTTCCGGGAGCACTTAGAGGAAATTGAAGAGCACCTCACAGGACAGCAGGCCCTCTTTTCCAGGGACCTGTCAGATGAGGAAAGGTAATTATCTAAGGGAGCCATAAGCATAAGTACCAACCCACAACCCTAAAGCAGGAAAGGTGATCAGGGCAGAACAGATGAGTGCCCGGGAGCAACTGGCCAGCTTCTCCTGGCTTTCGTGTTTTTGTTCTTGCTTCTTCAGTGGGAGTCTGTGAGGGCCATTTGCTAGATAGCAACACCCTTGAAGGCCTGGGCTCCCTGAGGTCAGAAGGTGGCAGCAGCTGGGAGGAGAGAACTGGCCAGCAGGATGTCTTTAATCAATGCAGATACCTTTAATCAATGCCAGTGGGGCTCATGTAAATGCACATAACCAGATTTATTGGAGTTTTGAAAATCTGCATTATTTTCACATAGATTAAAAGTCTACGATCCAAAAGTAAATGAGTAGTTGCCTAAAGTTGGGGGTGGGATTAGGGATGAACTGTATGAGGTCATGAAGGTTCTCATTGGGAAGATGGAAGTGTCCCAAACTTGGATGGTGACAGTTACACAACTTAGCAAATTCACTAAAAATCAATGAATTGTACTCTTAACCTAGGTAAACTTCATGGTATGTAAAATATTCTGCAGTAGAGCTGTTTAAAAAGAAAACAAGAAAACCTGCCCTAGTAATATACCTGTGAATGCAACTCATACAAATAAAGGAGGTAACATTCTCTTATAAGAAATATCAGAGGAGTGACCTACATTTTGAGAGGAATAGTGGAAGGCAGCACTTGAATGGAGGTGATTGTGAAATTTGATTTTCTATTTCTTACCTGCAGGAAGGAGGCTGAGCAACTGCAAGCTTTACGCAAGGCCCTGCGGCAGCAGGTGGAGGAGCTGGAGTTTCAGTTTGGAGACCGGGCTAGGCAAATCAGAGAAGGGATCCTGTTGGTACGGCGCGAGTGGGTGTGGAGTTCAACTGTATCCTGCCCACCTTGGGAGGGGTGTATTCAGTGAGAGACCTGATTGTGCAGATTTCAGATTCCAGGATTATGTGCTAGCACCTGCATTTTAAATATAAAAAAATTGAAGTCCAGAGAAGTACATTGGTTTGCTTAAGGCCACGTGGTTAGCTGATAGTGATTCGAGATTAGAACTTGGGTCCCCTAACTCCCATGCCAATCTTTCTCTCTGCCCTGTAAATAAGAGATAAGTATTATTAACCCACTTTCCAAATGAGAACCAGAAACACAGCTTTTGACCAAATGTGGTTTAAGTCACTGCCAGAACCTGCTGCTAACCAAGCCTACCCTAGAGAATTCACCACCCATAAGTGCCTTTCCCACAAGTCTGAGTTAGCCATTTGGTATAAATAAGGTAGGTTGTCCACTCTTTCTGTTTCTGTTTTCCTTTTAGCAGCTTGAGCTTCTCACAAGAGAACCAACTGAATGCTATACAGAACTGCACCAATATGACTGGACAGAAGAAAAGAATAGCCAGATTTCATGTCCCCAAATCCACCCAGCTGTGGCCTCTGGGGCTGCCTGTCCTCCTGATGATGGCCAGCAAGATCACCAGCAGGCTCCTTGCTCAGGTGGAAGCTGTTTGGCTGCCAGTCCTCCACACACCTCAGAGAGCCACACCAAGATGTCTCCTGCAGCTCAGGAAGAGTTAGGTCCAGCCCCTTTGTCAAACTGTCCTGTTGGAGAGAAGGATACTGGTGTCTTCCTCTAGATCAGAGTGCATTTGATGGCCTTCCTGCAAAATGTAAGAGCACATTCTAGCCAGAGCAACAATCTCTCAATTTTCCCCAAGGAGAAGTATCTGTCAACCTTTCATAGGCTATTTTTTAAAATATCCTACTCTATAGCTACATTTAAGAGAAACTCAGAATATTTTAATTCTCATCCAATGCAAAATAAGTGAGCACCTACTATGTGCCTAGCATAGGGAATATATGATGTTCAACATATATACAGTAAATCCTCATTTAATATCACCAATAGGTTCTGTGACTTTAAGCAAAACGTTGTATAATGAACCCAGTTTTACTGTAAGCTACTTGAATAAACAAGGTAAGATCTTCTGGCATTTAATCAACGTCATAACAAAACACTGTTGAAATATTCAAGTCACACATAATCTCCTCTTGAAACTATACCTGGTTCCCTCTTTTTACTTCAATAGAGACAACTACCTTTTCCTTTGTGTCTTAACTCCCGTGTCTACATGGCACTTAATTGCTCACATTTCCGCCTTCCCCTGGACTTCAAAGTAAGTTCCTTGAAGGAAGAGGTTGAGTCTATCTCTCCTGACTCAGTTGTACTGAGCACTATGCTAGCACATAGTTGGGGCATTTGGTGAAACATATTTTAAAACAGCACACCTAATCTCAGGACTAAACTGAGTGGTATTTTTCACTGGGTATGAAAATCTATATTGACAGTATTTTTTTTCAACACTTTATAAATGTTATTCCACCTTTTTTGGTTTTTGTTTTGTCTCCATGGTTCTTGATGAGAAATTGCCATCATTTGAATCACTGGCCCCTTCTCTGTAATGTATTGTTTTTCTCTAGCTCTCAAGATGTTTTGCTTTGTTTTGTTTTCTGTCCTTTGATTATGATGAGTCGGAGCATGATTTTCTTTAAGTTTATCCTCCTTGAAGTTTGCTGAACTTCTTGCATCTTCAAATACATGTCCTTTACCAAATTTGGGAAATTATCAGCCATTATTTCTTCAAATATATTTCTGCAGCAATTTCTTTCTCCTCTCCTTCCAGGACTGCAATAAAACTAATATAAAAATTTATCATATTGTCCCACAGTTCTTTGAGGCTCTGCTAATTTTTTATCAAACTTTATATACTTCTGTATTTTTCAGGTTGGATAATTTTTATTGATTGACCTCCAAGCTCATTGACCATTTTCTTTCTCATCTCCATTATCCCTTTGAGTCCTTCCAGCAGACTTTTAATTTGTGTTATTACCTATCGGTTCAAAAATTTCCATTTGTTTCTTTGGTATACTTTCTATTTCCTGGCTGAAAATGCCTGCCTTTCCACTCATTTCAACAGTGTTCACCCTTACTTCATGGATCATTATTATAAGAGGCGCTTTAAAAATCTTTGTCTGATAATTTCCACAACTAGGTCATCTTGCAGGTTGCATTTGTTGATTACTTTTTCCCTTAAAGGTTGTTACATGTTTCTGGTTCTTTGTATGATAGGTAATTTCGGATCATATCCTCGCCATTTTCATATTATGCTGTGAGATTTTTTTGTTATTAACTTTCNTTACTTTTTCCCTTAAAGGTTGTTACATGTTTCTGGTTCTTTGTATGATAAGTAATTTTGGATCATATCCTCGCCATTTTCATATTATGCTGTGAGATTTTTTGTTATTAACTTTTTCTGGAGAGTGTTGATTTTTGTTTATTTGTTTGTTTGCTTGCTTACTTCAGTAGACAATTAACCAAGTTAGGTTCAGACCACAGTCCTGACCCACCTGCAGGCTGTGGTTCCTGTGTCAATTTAGTTGTCACAGCCTTTCTGTACTACCTGGCCTACCTGTGCATGCCCATCCAGGGCTCAGTAGGAGACCTGGGTGACGGTCTATCCTGTTCAGTTAACGCTGCAGTATGTTGCTTATGATGAAGTTTTTTGTGTCATAGCTCATGATGAGCTCAATACTTTATACACAGATTGAAAGAATCCCTTTTTCCAGTTAACTCCTCTCTGTGAATCCCCCCTCACCTTCTCTGGCTCCTATGGGTTCCTTTTCATGGCTCTGCCTATAAAACTGTGGTTTTAGCATCCATGCACAATAATGAACTTCCTGAGACTGGGTCTACCTCAGGGAAAAGTAGAAAAACAGAAGAGCCTGCAGGTTCCCTCTTGCTGGAGCTGCTACACCAGATGCCACCTTCACTGCTGCTGTTCTTGCCATTGCCATGGAAATGCTACTTCCTTGGTCATGCCTAAGGCAGGGATTAGAGGGGGGAAAGATCGCTTTTTCCCATCAGCTCCTTTCCCAACTCTCTAGCCCAAGAGAGAGGATTTTTCTTGCAGTATTTTCTGTTTCACAGATTCAAGATTCAGGCTGCCCTGGAATCTAAGCCAGGAAATATGGGAGGAAAGAAACTCATCTCCATGAGCTGGATCTTTGAGTTTTTTTGTCTTCCCAAGTAGACTTGCTATTATATACTTTCAAGAGTCTTCAGATAGTTGCTTTGCATTTACTGTTCAAGACTTTTCGTTTTAACTAGTGGAAAAGGTAGGGAGGAGACGTACTCTGTCTTAATCAGAACTTAAATTTGCCAACTTAAGTGATTTTAATCTGCTCTTATTATAGTAAAAAATGCTAAATGTAAATCATATAGAAAAACAGCAAACATTTGTGGTAAACATCATTACCCCTATTTTAAAGATGAGGAAACAGAAACTAAGTGGCTTCTCAGTGTCACACAACTGGAACCCCAGGCCTGAGCCTGGGCTGGTCTGACTGCAGGACAACCATGCCAGCTCTGTCACACAGCCTGAGCAGGGCCCGAGCTGCAGACGCTCTGACTACACGTGAGGAGCAGGCACTCGTCTTCTCTGAGGCCTGTGTTTTCCTAGCTTTCAGCATTGATTAGGTCAAATTGAAAGATGTACTTATGTGCAAGGCAGGTTGAGATTGAATATCACTTTGTGTTGGTTATTGGGCAGGTGTTTGTTTAAAGAAAGTGGAAACAGGTGTGTGGGCCCTGATTCAATTACATGGTGGAGGGGAACACACTGATCCATGGCCATTTTCAAGGAGAGATGCTGATTGTGCTAATTAATCATTTGTCTGTCAGAACATAATAGAAACTGATGTTCCAGTTTCCATTGGTATGGAACACAGACTCATGTGTCTGGCTCCCCAGCAACCAGATGCAACTGTTTATGATGACAGCAATTAAGATGCAGTGCCTGAATCCTCCTGGATTACCATGTCTGAGATGGTTTGAAGGAAAGGTGTTTCGTGAACTCGTGCCAACGGCACGGGACATCGTCCAACAGGAATTGTCTCTCAAAGGAACTTTTCCCTTCAAAGAGATTAATTGAGTCCTTTTTGGTCAGGATGGCATCCCAGAGATGTGGTAGAATAGAATATTTTCCCATGCTGTGAGTTGCAGCACTCAGTCCACCTCATCTCACCAACAGAATGTCATAATAATACTGTATGTATTTCTTTTAGTTATCCTCTTGCCATCCCATAGCCAGAGTGGTCTTTTAAAAACATAAATCAGGTACGTTGCCTTCCTGCATAAGAAGCTCCAGTGGCTTTTCAGTACATTTATAATTAAATCCCAATTCCCTACCAAGATCTACAAAGCTCTACACAACTCCACCCTGCTTACCGCTATCACCTCATTTCACACCACGTTCTCCCTCTCTTGCTATGATTCAACTTCGCGGATCTTCTTGCTGAATCCTGAACACATTAAGGGCATTTTTGCTTCAGGGGCATTTCTGTTGCTGTTCCCTCTTTGCATTTGCTGTTCCACTTTCCCCAAATATTCATATGGCTAGAACCTTCTCATTCAGATCTCCATTCATATGCTACCTCTTCAGAAAGTCTTCCCTTGACAACCGTATGCAGAATAGGGCTCTTCCTATATACATCTCTGCTTATTTTCTGTCCACTTATCCTGCCTTGTTTTCCTTGTAGCATTAACTATATGGATTTTTATTGCTTTGTTTGTTTATTTGTTCAGTGGCTGTATCTCTTTATAGAATGTCATCATCTTTCCATATTTTATCCCCAGGCCTAAAACATAGGACAATTTGATAAGTGAATGGACAAGAGTATTAATTCACTTATTAATTAATATATCAACACTAATAGACATTGGATATACATAAATAAGACACAGTCTAATCCATCAAGGAATTTTTAGTTTGGGGAGGAAAGCACATACAGCTAATAATCTGTCCGTGTTACTTCTTTATTTATACCTTTCAGAAACTGCCCATCAGCAGCAAGGTTTTTGAGCCTGGGGTCATCATTTTCACCAGGCAGTGGAGACATTGAGGAAAAATTATTAGGACAATTGGGCAAGTCTTTAATAAAGTTAATGCAACCCAAGCAACAGTGTTCCTACTTTTGCTTCAGAGTTACATCTCCTGCTAAGTTAGAGGAGTTGTCTCTTGGTTGCAGGGAAGCCAGCCACCAAAGACCATATGTTTTATAATCTCATTGATCTAAAATGTCCAGAATTATCAAATCTGTAGAGAGAACGTCGACTGGCCGTTGTCTAGGGCTGAACAGTGAGGCAGGGGAATGGATGTGACTGCTAATGATGGTACAAGATTTCTTTTGAGAGTGATGAAAATATCTAGAAATTAGATTATGGTGATGATCGCAATTCTGAAAATATACTAAAAGCCATTCAATTGCTCACTTTAATTGTATTGTATGTAAATTATATCGCAGTGAGGTGTTAAAAAAAATAGGGCAAACAAGCAAACACCTGAGGCAGACTGTTTCCTGAGCTGGGAAGGAATTTGCGCAGAGAGGTGAGGCTGGAGCCAGTGGAGGAAGGAGAGGTAAGTAGGGACCAGGTCCCATGGGGTCTCTTAAGCCATGGCAGGGAGTTGGATTTTATTTTGAATGTAGTGAGGAGCCATTGGAGGGTTTGAAGTGGGAGAGTGATAGGATGTGGCGCATATTGATGCCCTATAAGAAGATTAGCCTGGCTGTCCTGTCC